TGTAGGCTTAATTAAAGTGTTTTAATAATTTGAAATGTGAAATTGTATGATTTATTCAACTCTCACGCGAGTACTGTTAACATCTGAATTTAATGATTAATTTGAGATTTCGTTATTACCAGCATAATCACCTTTCTTTTATACCGTAAATGTGTTCTTATCCATAATTTCATATATTATTATTTTACTCAACGTATAATTTCATATTACCCACAACACTCGTGTAATAGACGTGTATTATAATTACTGATACGCAAGAAATACTGTGTAGCTAATTGTAGCGTGGTTACACATACATACATATAGTTAAATTTATCCAGTATTTAATTTTATAAATAGGATGACTTAAGGGACTTCTCCTTTGCTTCTTATATAGAACTATTTGACACATTAGTTTCAAATAAATATGATTTAATGAAATTATTTTATTGCACAGGCGTATTTAAATGTTTTTTATTTTATGCTATAGAAAGTTGCATAGCAATTGACTATCAGCTCGAATATAACGCTACGTTGGCGTCATCAAACAGCAAGGTGTTAACTCATTCATTTATTTTGGTCCAGGTACTATGAGTTAGATTTGTAGTTCAAATGAAAAAAAAATATATATATGGCGAATTGAGTAACCTCCTCCTTTTCGAAGTCCGTTAAAAATGCAAAGACGGAGAACACGAAGCTCTGTACAATATTTTTGCTAGAGTTGGAAGAATAAGAAAGAATGGAAAATCGACTGCAGTAATTGTGAATCGTATCTGGCACTATTATTCTCTTTGATCGTACTCGTTCTTGAACAATTACAGTATTACTGTCATAGTAATCGCGGTGCACGAATGGCGATTGCGGATTTCTATTGTAGTCGTGATTCTTGCAGTCGATTACAATTTTCCCAACGTTGAAAGGAAAACCATAGATTAGGATAACCAAGATATTTTTCAAGTTGAATCAAATATTAATAGAAACAGGTAGATATCTACTAAATATCAAGTAATATTATAGAAACAACTTGATCAAAGCTTGGAGTATGAGACCTGTCGGAATCATACTTTTTCCTCGTTATTGATGGAATGCGTGCGTGAAATCTAATTCCCCGAGCTCGAAGCGGCGTATTATTACGTGTCCGGCTCCGACGTGTCTAATTACCTTCGATTCAATTTCTAAATTACGGCTTCGCCGCGTACCATAGGCGTCGTTCAAAGGCGTGTATACGAAAAAGCGAAGAAAATAATTCACTTGCGTGGCAATTTTTCGCGAGAACTCGTCGGCCATTCGCCCGGTCGTCTGCGACGCACGAGCGTCCATACAATTAATTATTGACCCGTTTTAATCGTGTTAGGTCTAATTAGTGGGGGGCAGAGTAGTCCGTCTCAAAGTTGTTAATTAAATTGGTTAATGCGATAAAGGTGAGTCCATAGCGGAGTTCTCCGTTCCCTTTCTCTCCTCACCTCCTTCGTCGACGCCAACGTCGGGCGTCTCTTTTAGCCTTTCGATGTTTCGGTTAGTTAAAAAATAGTTTCTCTTGAACGAAACGTACCAACATGTCTACATAAATATGTTATTTATTTGTACAGATCGATTAATATTGTAACTCGTTTTTTTTTACACCTGTGAGAGGTACCGATGAAGACTTGCACTAAAAATCGAAAGGTGTATTGCTTTAATAATAATACAGCTTGTGCTAACTGTTTTTATATTGTACTTTATCGACAGAAGCAGAATTTCTTTTACTTTTTCAAAATTCTTTCCGTTTGTTAGTGCATTCATCGCATGGAGATAATCCCTTGGTAATTTTTATCGATGACTGTGTGGTATTTTACATGTCATTTAACAACAATTTAATAAAAGGATATGTAAACAAGCACGATGAAATTACTCGTCAAAGTGTCCCGTGTATTTCAGTCTAGAGAAGCTGGATTATATTCCGTTTGGAACGGTGTCGCCTCGATGAATAATAGACACGTCTGCGCGTCGCTCGCTGTCGCAATGTTTACGTGGACACGTGTATCGTAATCCTATTGAGGACCGCTGCTATAATAAGAATTTCCATCGAACGGTTATCATAATTCCGTTACGCGTGTGTTTTCGTGATTACGACAGCCACCCAGGGGGATTACCGCGATTCGACATCGTTTCTATGAATAATTACTACCTTAACATAGAATTCTTTCGATCGTTAACGGTTTGCATCGGTTCCACGGTACAGTTAAACAGGAGGTTCTGGTGTTTACAAAAACTTGGTTGTGACTAATGGCATTCTATGATCTTGAATCACACCATTATTTTAGCCACGGAAAGGATTGATGCTTCCGATAGTTTCAAATACGTTCTCCAAAGTGGTGTCTTCTTCTCCAAAGACTGTGATTTCTATTTTTTCCGTGAATTGCAGTTTATTTTGGAATACTCGGTATATCGTGAAAAACGACGTTATTCGGACGAGAGTTATCTGTAGAAATACTTGTAGCCAACAATAAATGCTTTAACGATTTCCTTTTTTTGCTGTGACACATACTATTATATGTTGCAAGCAGTAAAAAGAAGTTACCGTTAGATATATTTAATCGATTTTACACCATGAATAACTAAAAGTCTGAAGAAATTATTAGATTATCAAGAAAGTTCATGCCAATTTTTAAGAAAAATTCAATGGCACATTTGAATTTTGATATATATTTATTGAATTACATAGGTACTATTTTGTTCCACAACCTTTCCACCTTCGAAGGGATGGTACCACCAATCAAAAATCGATATGGACATTCCAGACAACCCAATATATAACCGTGTCATTTATATATAATTTCGTATTATATCTCCCATTTATAAAAATTATCAGAAGAATTTTGTTAAAACATTCTTTACAATATTTCATGCTATTTATCTAATAGAATTAAATATGTATTTCTTTCTTACCGAGGATCGGATGACTTTACAGTTGAAACGCTTAATGAAGTTGAAAAAATACTTGTGACTACATCGTTGGCTAATTTTACACCGAGTAAAGGTTTCAAAAGTCAATTGCAACTTTACTTGTCGATAAATGCTCGCAAGACTACATATCCTGGCCAGACGATCCAAGTGAGTCAGTATCTCGGTAAACGGCCCCAGTTCGAATGAGCGAAACTCATATTTGATTGCGATATTAACGCAGTAAAATTTTCAGACCGAATCGCGTTGCCTGTTGCCGCGAATATTCCTTTCACGACGCGAAATATTACGAAGAAGAAAAGAAAAAAAGAAATGAGCGTTCAACTCGATCGGCGGCATCGAGTTCCAACCGGTCAATACCTCCAAGTCGAAGTTACAAAACCGGGAACGATTATAACAGCCGCGGTAAGCCGATAGCGGCCGACAATAATAAATATTCTTGCACACGGTGCTTTACCTTATCGCCGTATTCGACCATATCGATAATCGAACAAATGACCGTGTTTTCGTCGAGATTCCGGTCGCACACTCGCATGGAACATGGAACACGCCGTTTACGCGTAACGAAGGCTGCCACGTACGACATTCCGCGCCCCGTTGACGAAATAATCGTGATGGCGTTATGGCAACCCCACCGCTGTCGGCCATTAATTATAATTAATATCACCATCGATAATGATACCCGACACTCCGTGTACAAGGGTGTCCCCGCGGTCGTGGCGCCTCGTGTAACGTCAGAAAATCGCAACCGCCAATTATAATACATGAAGCACGGGTAGAGAAGTTTTCGTCAGGGTTTGTAAGCTTTTATATAATGTTTGATAGTAAAGAGGGATGATTCTTTGTGGAAAAACAAATTGTAAATATCAGTCAAACAATTTTTCCCGTGATCTTCCTTTATCGAGAAAAGTTTCTTCGACAATCTATCGGAACTGGCTCATTGATTAACCCTTTAGGGTCGTATTAAATTTAGACATGGGTGTAGTTCTGGTTGGAATTAATTTTCGAAAAACGAGCAGTGATACATAATATGCGAAATTATGAACGATAAACTAGATTTATCAATTGTTTTTATGTAAAAATTATATTTTATAGTTCTACATCATATGGTATCTGCCGATAACTTTCTTCTTGCCATTTTTGAGTATTATTTTTGAAATACCTTAAGAAGCGAGAATGCCTAATTACAGAACTTAATTTTGCAAATTTATATTCTTAAATGTGACGTATATAACGTTTTTGTAAGATAATTTGTATATAAGATCATTTTATTACACATATACGACACTCGACACATTTGCCAAAATCGCCTCAACCTGCTACCTTGCCCGGCCGAAGAAGTCGTGGACCAAAATGGGCTAAATACAACGACTGTTATACACACAACAATGGTTTTGAACATACAAGATGTGATTTGAAGAAGAAGAGGCGATTTGCCTTGTTTCTTCAATGTCTGAAAACTAAATAACGTTGATGCTCGTTTACCGTCTTCTACGCTTGAGAAACGAAAGACTTTTTTCTCTAAAGATGCACAACGTTTCCAAGCTTCGACTGGGTTCAGTTTCCCTCTGTCGTACATTTTAATGCACCTTCGTAGCGGGATTGTATTGCCGGGAGATACGCCGCGTTGAACGCTTGACACATTTTAAGCCGCACGACTTACGCGTCTGTATGTATTACCGTCCTCCGTTGATAGGCGATCGGCTCGTGGTTGGAAACCGCTGTTATGCGAGTAGTCAATTTGTAGCATTCGTTTGTGGTATTAAAAAGGGTAAGTCACCGAGAATGGTCCGCGAGGTAGTTAAAAGCGAGCGAAATGATATGAACGACGTGGATTGAATGTCGCTCGTTATGCGCGTCCACGTTGTAAATCGTCGTTGTAAATCAATTGACCAGCTCTGGCCGGGGTTGGCTGGCTGATAAATAGGATTAACTGATTTACATGAACGAGATATCCGTCCGGTCGGCATCGATCATAATCAACGCTGAACAGCGCAATCTGGAATTAATTCCAGTCGGTGCACCGGGGATCCGCGAAACATTCCTGAATCAGCGTTTCTTTTACTTTCTCGTTGCAGGCCAACCCATGCCAGCACCCGATCGTTATCCTGAGGGACGTCGCCTCGTCGGATATGGAGTCCTTGCTGCGTTTCATGTACCACGGCGAGGTCCACGTGGGCCAGGAGCAGCTGGCCGCTTTCTTGAAGACGGCGCAGATGCTTCAGGTTCGAGGGTTGGCGGATGTCAACAGCGCCGCCACCGCCAAGATCCCACCTCCGTCGTCCTCGGGCGGCTACAACGGTAGCGCACCGGTGAGTTCATCTTTTAAAACTTAACAGATCGATCTAACTCAGTTTGAAATATATGAAATTTCATTCGTCCGAACGAACTTGTTTTGGATCAAGGTGATTCGGATAATGCTCGCGACATCTTGAATACTAATCCAACGAGTCCAATTATGTCTCACAGTCCTGATGATATGAGTATGAGTTTATTCGTGGCATTACCGAACAGTCGTAAAAGAGTTGATAGAGCACCGATACAGGTAGTACACTTGAGGAGTATTAACTCTTGCTCTCTAAGAGAAAATCTCTTGCTGTGGCAACAACGAAGACTCGCGTCTTCTTCGAGCCGTCTTGGTTGAGGTTGAAGCTGGTGATTTTCTTTTAGACCTTCGTACGTCTTCTGAGCGCCCATGTATAAAAAAACTAATAATATCAGAATGTGTCCTACTTGAAACTATTTAACACTAAACCTACCGACGTTTATTTGTAACAATTTCTACCGTGATTGGACAAATGACTAGTCTTAAAGACACTTTTTTAATTGAATGCAAGAACATTTTATGGCAAACTGAATTAAGTAATACATGAAATTTAATAATTGTATATAATTCATGTATTGGATATAAGAAATATATACTAAAGTTTAAAAACGGTCATTTGAGGGGTCATAGTAGATTTAGTATTAATTCTATCTGAATCATTTTTCGCTATCACTCTGGATCACCTTGTCTATTTCGCGGTTTCCTCACACGACATTTTTGGTCCTTCCGAGTGTTTACAATGAAACACAGCATTGTATCTTTTTCAATTTGCAGCACCCATGGTTTGATATGCGATTTTTTACACTGATCGAATAACAAATGATTGTTTCTTTCTATCGCGTAGCAAGGGAAGTGCACAGATACCAGAGACTTGCGAAATTTTCTGTTTGAAGGGTACCAATTAAAAGTTTTGGCGTTCATGATCTTGTTAAACAGACTATATCACGTTCCTACCTTACTAATCACTCTCAGCATAACCAGCATTTCTCTTGATTGCAAATCTTGTTAAGCATCTATATGATACACGATTACTACATTCATTCGATACTTCTTGTACAAATGCTACAGTTAGCGAACATGGAATAGACACTGGTGGAATCCTGAATTCTAGCCTGACCAAATATCTTCCTCCCTGTTGTTGACTCATTTCATTAGGACTCGCACCCACCTACGCTCAGAATTCTTTTTCAACTAATACGCAATCCAAACACTCGAAACCAGTGTTCACGAGTTCATCGAACTTCATACGTATGACGCATCAGCCAGATAATAGACACTCACGTTCGGATATCTGAATTCAAAAGTACTGATTTATTATGTTGTAAGTTATTCGAAAAAAATGAGTTCTTAACATTTTATCTACCACACTATTTGAAGAGAGTTTACAACTTAGAAAAGGACTTTCTACATTGGTATACAGTAGGTGTAGAAAGTATTTGCACACCGATCAATTTCCATAAAACTATGCGAAATTGTAATTTATTAATAGACCTTTCGCCTAAAACACGTACAATGCGCTACGGGTAGGTAGGTGGGATGTTTTCTAATTCGTACGAAGCAATAAACTGACGTGTTTATGTTACAAACTCTACTGTAAATGGTTTGTCATAAGAACCGTACGAATACTTATTGCTTCTATTATATATTTCTGCCGATTTTTCGTATTTTCTTGTTAATTTCGCAAATTATATAAACTAGAAATTGTTGTTTGGACTATATCTATTCTAGAGATTTCCGAGAATATGAAGAATGTCATTGATAATAAAAAAAGAAATTGATCGATGTACTAGTATATTCTACACCAACTGTATATTAATATAGGCTGACATTAACTTGTGGACATTAGATACATCAAAAGCTTTGCGTGTTTCCTTAAATTCAGCACTGTAAATAAATAAAATTAATAAGCTCTAGTGAGTACACAGTGGAATCAAGAAGCCTATAAATAGGCTTCCAGTACATAAAGTGTTAATTATAATTCATCTAATCCAAATCACTTGTTTGCATGTCGTTTGGCAGTTCCGAATTTCCGATAGAGCAAGTTCAATGATTCGAGCATCGAGTATAAGTTTCGTTCGGATAAATGGAGTTCAAGTTAATAGATTCCAACCGTACGTGAATTATTCGACAACGTTTATGTGTCGATAGGCGACGCCGCGCAATCCTTGGCAAGACAACGGCAGGGGAGACTTGAACGAGAGCGGTTTAAGTCCGCCGCCGGAGAAGAGACCTAGAAGCAACACTCCAACGCTTGGTAATCACGTCGAACCGAAAACGGACCTTCAGGACTCGCTTCTGGGGCAAGCTCTGGAAGGAGGACCCACGTTGCACACGACACCCACCAACAACGTACAGGTAAGGAGAACCTGTCGATCACTAGCCCACATTTCCGGAGAACTCTTCGGAAGAGTTCAAATATAAGAGTCATCGTTGATCTCAGGCGCAGTCTACCGGTGAAGACTCGAATTCCATGTCGGACAACGAGGAGGATATGTCGAACAACGACAGCATTTTGAACTCCGTCAAGACCGAGCCGAGCGATATCTTGAACGACTCCATGGAACATCATCGTAACTCGTTTCCTGCGGCGCTTTTGGGACTACCAGGTAAATTTCAAGTCAGATTTACTCAAACAATCTCTTCTCTTTTTCGTCTTGATCGAGCACCGTGAAATGGCGTTATCTCACGCTTGTTAAATATACTTTCACCATTCCTAACGCGAATTGGTTGTAGATCTACGCGATACTGATGGGTTTCTGTTTTTAGAGATTTTTAAATGATGTACATTGACGGTATGCAAAGTGTCCATTCCAAAGTTTTCATAAAAGTATATGTGGGATCAAACAAGAGCAGCATATTATGAACACAGATGCGTAAATTAAAAGAAACAAACTTTGATAAAAAGGTAAAAATGGTGTGGTACAATGAAATCCGGTTATCGATGTTAACTGCTCACTCGCTAAGTTCAAACTGACCGTTTTCCTTTTTCCGAAAAGAAAGTTCGGTATAACGCTCACATCTGTTTTCCATCTATTCGCACTTTCCCCCCCCCCCCCCCCTCATTCATACCCTAACGTCGCCTAGGTGGTCGTGATGCGACGCGACGCCCTCAGCTCGAGTCTCAACATTTGGACTCAAGGTTTCTGCTATCTCTTTTAAAAAGCATTTCTGGGATAGTACATATATTTTCCAGTATTTCTAGTATATTTATTAAAAAGTTCTTATTCTTCGAGCCGGTGAAATCATCGACGAAGTTTCAAACTTCTTCGGAATCATGAAATCGTGTGCCAGAAAGTTTGTGTTGCTTTTAATTTTACTGTATTGTAAAATCTGATTGTGTTAAGTCTAGTGAGCATGCAGGTTCTTATAAGACTTCCCATTCCAACTCCGTTAACTTGTCACGAGTTATCGGTGTGACATGAAGCCTGGCATTATCGTGGAGCAAGAGAATCTTGTTTCATTTTATTTTAAATTTCAACCGTTTTTTTATCAGTTCTTTGTGCAGTTTCTGAAGTTGCTGGCTATGTATAATAGAACTGCTGTAACATTTTTCCATGGATTTATCATCATACCATAGTATACATAGAACACCATGGATGATTTACCAAATACTACAAATACTATCTTGTGACCATGTATGTTTCTTTCTGACTGCTCTGGAATGCTCTCAGCAGGATTACCCTATGACTTGTCACGTCGCGGATTGTCGAAATATATTCATTTTTCATTTCCGGTCATAACATTATGCAAGAAAGATTTACTCCTATATCGATTTATCAGCGAAGGACAAATGTTGAGCTTGTTGGCAATGGCGTTCTCGGACAGCACGTGCGATGCTCCAGTTTCCTTCCTTGTTAATCTTCCCCATTTCGTATAATAGTCAATGTTGAGTACTTTGATTAATACGGAGCCTTATCGCAAACTCATTACTCGACAATGTTGAATCTTGCTGCGATACTCGCTCTCGGCCGTCCAAATCGTTCGAACGATGGAAACTTTTGCATACCCTTGATACAAACCCCCCAAAAATATGGAGTAACCAGCGGCATATGAAAATAGTGGTCGCGATATCTCTAGTGCGTCATAGGAATTCGCGTTGCAGAAACCCAAGGCGTTATATGGGAGTTTATTGTACCGCATACGTAGAGATTTAGTCCCGCGATAACCAGCGGTTGATTTTCTAAATTGTCTTCGACGATTCCATAATTCGCATAAATTGCACGGAACAAGCGATAATTGTGACTGTTATTGACAATTACAGGACTGATACCAGGACCGTCCGGAATCCACGCGGCGAATCAGGATCCAAATTACGGTAAGTGATCAGAACAACGATTCAATTTCACAGTTTATATACGATTTCGTAGCCCAGACTAGTTATCCTCCCGTCGTTCCCTTAAGACTCTGGTCTCTCGTTGTTGCGTTGAATGCATGGAACTCTCGTACCTCTCACAACCCTGCATCCCCTTGCCCAACTTACCCCTCTGGAATAAAAAGAGAAAAAAAGAAAATGAAAATGAAACACGGTGAGCAAACGTATCACGGAGCCGCGTCTCCCGACGGCTCTTCGAGTTCGTTCGCCGGAATTATCGATTTCCTCCGCAAACGCTGCAATCGCTAGAACGTTGTTAGGGTTGCCATGCAAAGCCGAGCTTGACTCTTTACTCGAATTCTTAACGACCCCTCGAACCTTGCCGAGGCTAACGAGTTAATTGGTCGCTCTCGGTACACGAGATACATATGTACTATCAACCGACGAAACTGTTTATGAAAAAGAGGGTGGAGGTACGGACTGGCAATGAAGAAGGACAGAGTATATGTTACCGCATTAAAAAAAATAAATAAATAAATAAATAAAACAACCGAGAACTTTATAAAATTGTTGCCACGAATGTGTTTCCTTCGCATGGGAATATAGCGATCAGGGGAGGGATGCAACTGTTGCTCGGTCGAAACTGAAACCCGGACGTAAGAAAGAGAAATCGGCTGCGAACCGAAAGAAAACGAAGGGCTGCGGGTGGCAAAAAAATTGAATAGTGTTTAAGGGATCGTACGAGATTGGCTGAAGGACTGACATTGGCTGGTGGTTCCAGGGCGATGGCAGCCCTCCGGAGGAGATGGTTCAAGTTCGAGTTCCGGTTGGTTGCCGGCAACGTCCTCCGCGAGGAACGACCACGCGGGTTCTGGAACACACCAGAGTGGAGCTCACAACTCGAAAGGGCAGGATCTCTCATCGCTTCTCCAGCAGCATCACCACCATCACCTCCACGCCACCAGCCAACCGTCGCAGCAACACGCGCTCAATGCCTTGAACTCCCTGAACAGTCTGAATACCGAGCAGTTGACGATCATGCACCAAAAGCTGCAAAACAATCTGCAGAGCTTGCAGCAACAGCAAACCACCACGGCCAAAGGCGAACTGAACCTGATGCTTCAGTCGTGCTCGAAGGACAAAATCGAGAGCATGGCGCTGTTCCATCAACGTCGCCTCCAGCAGCAGCAACAGCACCAGCCGGACAGCATCAATCAGTCCGGTAAACCGAAGTGTCCTGAGTGCGGGAAAATATACTCGAACAATTCGAACCTGAAGCAACACATCGTGAACGTGCACACCGTTCAGACCGAGTTCGTTTCCTGTCACGTGTGCAACAAGCAGTTCAAAACGAAGCAATATCTGCAAATACATCTGTTGTCCATGCACGGAATCAGGAAACGGAAAAGCTATCCGTTGTATCAAATACAGACTCACGGTCAGGTACAACAGCAATCCGGGTCCCAAGGATCCGGTAGTCAACAGTCGCAACAACAGTACCCAGCGCTCGATAGATGGTCCGACGACAAACAGTGACTCGAATCGTTGATCGATCGAACAATCGACGAGACGAACCCCCTAGACGATGTTTATGGGGCGAGAGAGGGTCGATAAGGGCGGATGCTGGCAGTCTGCATTCGTATTCGACCCCTGGGTAGACTCGCCGAGTAGCTCGAGATGCAATCGGATGCTAAACGAAACCTCGCAATAATATTGGTAGCAGTTGTACATACGAACGTTGCTTAGGCTAGTTAGATCGCGTACGTCGCCCAAAACGTTCGATAGGTAGTTCTTATTCAATTTTATTTTTTCTAATAGTTAAGATGAAAGAGCGGAGGTGGCGATAGGCAAACAGGTGACGAAAGAGGGTGCTGCTACGAGGATTGGCCGACCTATTTTCGTATTGTACCGCAGTGCGCAGCCAATCCTTCGAGGCTCCGATAAGTAAGCCTCAGCGATTGGCCAAGGGGGACAGAGAGAGAGAGAGAGAAAGAAAGAGAGAGAGAGAAAGAAAGAGAGAGAGAGAGAGAGAGAGAGAGAGAGAGAGAGAGAGAGAGAGAAAGAGAGAGTTCTTGAAGCGCTCCTCGCGAAATTCTTATCGGCACAAGTGGCACAATCAGAAAGAGGAATTCGTCGGCCTCGTTCCGCGAAAGAAAGAGTGAGTCGCGGGAAACGTCGATATTCACCCCTTTCGTCGACTCATTTTGGGTAGTAGGAGAGGAGGATGAATAGAGAATCATGGGGTAGGAGCGGAAACGCTGGAAATAAGTTTTTTTCTAATTTCGTAGATGATCGATCGCGGGATATTAATCCAATTTGAAATAAAACTGTAGTTTGGTACGAACATTTGCTGTATTTTCTTCAGCGTATGAAACAAGTGAGGATTGTATAAGGGGGTAGAACACTATAATAGCTTTAAAAAGAAAGGTATTTTCAGAAAATGTCTATAAAGAAACTGTACGACGAAAATGTTTTTAAATTTTCAGTATGTATTTGGAAATAAATCTTTGAATTTGACGCAGGAATATTACCTATTCATTGAAAAGGAATTGTTGCTGTGGTTCTAGCAATTCTAGCAATTCTAGCAATTCCAGTGATTTTGAGAAATGAAGAAAAATCGATTTGTAAAAAAATGTTACAGTTCTTTGCTCCTGTAAATGTGTATCTAATTCTCAGTCTTGATTTCATTGCTTGCCCTTTAATTTCATTCAATTTTCTAATTTTTTTTGTGGTTTGATGTAATGTCAATACAACTTTTCATCAAAGAGGATCCAAACGTAAGGTCAACGTGTTTAATAAACAGTAGTATAGTCGAGGAATGAACAGATTGAAGATTTCGGTGTACAAATTGATCTTCATTGATCTTCATTCTTGGTCGTTTCTATGCTAGAACTTATTCTATTAATTATAAGAAAAAAAATTCTTTAGTTTCTGAATCATCTTCATCTCTGGAGATGTTCGTCCCTTACATCGTATACTTCGATATACAGAACGTCAAGGATCACATTTTCACTGCCGAACATACATTAACAATTTGTCCGTCTACAGACTCCACGATTCCTCGCTACTACATACATTTTGTCGCTTCGTTTCACAAACAAAATTTAACAAATGCTCGTACCAGATTTTTATCTTGTCTCTTTTTTAAACGGTAATCTTATTTGTCAGGAAAAGCGCGACGGAAAACAGAGTGGAAATGTAATTAATTCAGGCAGAGTCACGGTGAACGTGAATGGAAATAGGGTGAATTATTTTCGAGCGTAAAACAAGCGAACTAAATTCGCGATTCGAGGCGCAGCGTGTTCTGGCAACGATATTGCAGACTCAAACGCATCCTTTGTATCGGCTGCTTTTAAAATATTGACGCGAGCGCGCTAAAACCAGTGGTCGTCGAAGAGCGACACGAAGCGTTCCATTTACTCCGTCTTGACGCCTCGTATTTCCGTGCATTCGCGTGTGTACTTTCCGTCGCGCACGTGTGGCCACTGTACACACACGTACACATGCGTGCACGGTCGTGTGCCTGCGCACATTTAGGCTCAGGGAATTACGAGGCAGAAAGAGATAGAGTAGGTTGTATTGATCTCGAGGATTCAACAAACAGCACCTAGTGCCTCCCGTGCTCTCCTTCCTCTCCGACTTTACCTTACCACCCTCGTTCCTCCCTCTCTGGTTCGTTCTCTCGGAGTATTCCGTACCATTCGACACGCCTCGTGGATAGAGTTTGACGAGGGCGAGGAACCCTCTCCAATAGTTCTGTGCCATCTTATCGTAGGATATAGGTTGCCACCGCCTCTCTTCGGTTGCTTTTTGCGTCGCGTAACCCCTTGTCGATATTCCTTTGCTTCTTTGCTCGCCAATAATCCAACGGTCGAGGAAATTGCTCTTTGCGGCGATTCGGTAGAAATTGTATGCCTCTGATTTCAATACTTTGTCAATCGCACACTTTTCGCGAACTGTGCACGGTAACATGGCTCATCGTAACCCTTTGCACTCGGATGTCTCCTTTGAGAGAACGTCGTAAGTGTGGCAAGCTTTGCTAGAGATTGTATTGTACATAGGATGAACTTGCGCAAGCGAAATTGATCAAAAATGCACACTTGCTTGGAGTTTCCCATTTAAATGGCACAAGAAGTAAATTAAAATATGGTATATGCGTTGAAATATGTCATCGGTGGCGTGCTATATCACTGTAGTGGGTTGTGATATGTATGAATCATATTTTGTGGTCCAAATATGGCGAACTATTCGGTATACATACTTATTTTTTATAGCATAACACCTTAAATAGTCCTTAAAATCGGTACAGCAAGCTGTTTCCTATCACTTGAAACTGCCAATCGTGTTCTACCCGAAGGGTTAACTCGATATACCCTGATTGACGTTTCTATTTTTGACTTCATTCTACTCGTTCATTTTCTTGAGGTATACTCAACATAGCAGTAGTTGTATTTTAAACTACTTTGTGGTTAACACTCGAACGATAGAGTACCCATTCTGCCTTTGCCTGTGCACAATTGATAACCACAGTTCAGTTATCTACAGCAACAGTAAGCTTTCTAGATTTATTTATTTCTGCTATCTAGAAGAGTTCCTATTGGAACCCCATTTCGAAGTGCTTACCGTACGTTAAATCCGATTCGTAGATCGAACAGTCTAACGTTAACGGAGTGAATGTCTGTCTCGAATCATCGAGTAGCCGTTCCTCGAGGCTGAAGAGAAGAAAGTTGCGACGGGCACGCGATCCCCGCGCCCCTATGAGCAACGACCACGCGATGTGCTTGCTCACGATCGGCCTATCACCCTCATTGCGAACCCCTGGCAAAACAAACCCTGCGCCGGCTTATCCAATTCCACGGTATTTCCACGAATCTCTTCCATCTCCTGTCTTCCGTGCTACCCAACCCTGACGCTCGTAGTTTCGACGTAATGGAGGTGGAGGTTCGCATTTGTTCCCCGTCACCCTCCTATTCTAACCCTTCCCCGTCATCCTCCACCCACGT